GCTTTCATGCCTATTCTATTCTTCCCCCCCCCCCCCCCCCTGCTGTTGCTGGGGCTCCTAACTCTTCTGCTCTCTTGATTCGCTCTGATGATCCCTTCATCCCCTTACTTTTTCCTTCGCCTCTCCATTGTTCTCCTGTTCGTATCTTTGTGGGGAAATGGTACACTATTTTTTCCATTTATCTCCCCCCCGAGTGTCCCACTTTCTCTTCCTGATCTGAAACACCTACTGGACTCCTTGCTGGAGCCTGTGCTCCTGCTGGGGGATTTCAATCGTCGTCAGTCCCTTTGGGGTGATGTTCTGACGAACACATGAGGTCGCCTTCTTGAGCCGTTTATCCTCTCTTCTTCCCTGTCTCTTCTGAATTCTGGTGAGCCCACGCATTTGGACTCTCGGACTCGCACCCTTTCCTGTCTTGATCTTTCTCTTTCCTGGTCTTCTCTTTACTTAGATTTGACGTGGCAGGTTCTTGATGACCACCATGACAGTGACCATTTCCCCATCCTTGTTACCTTTTTCTCTTTTCGCCCTCCCTTCTCCTTCCCTAGGTGGCAGTTTGCGAAAGTGGACTGGAACCTCTTTACTCTCAGTGCTACTCTCTCTGACCTCTCCCTTCTGCCTCTCCCTCGCTCTCTCCTCCTTTTTCATGACACTGTGTTCAACGTTGCCCTCCTCTCTATTCCTCGCTCTTTCTCTTGGGGGTCCAGGGAAGCGCGTTCCCTGGTGGAATGTAGACTGTGCTCGGGCTGTCCGCTGTAAGCGTGCAGCCTGGAAGAGACACCGCAGTCGGCAGATGGCCGATTCTTTTCTTTTCTTTTGGAAGGCGAGTGCAGTGGCCCGTAGGGCCATCCGTGCGGCTAAACGAAAATGTTCGGCATTTTATGTCTCCACCATTACGTCCGAATCTCCTCTGCCACAGATCTGGAAGCGTATCCGCAAAATAGCGGGTAAGTTCGTTCCCGATGTTTCACCGATCCTTCACATCCATGGTACTCTTGTGGCGGACTCGTTGCATGTCGCTATCGAACTGGGTTCCCACTGTTCTTCTGTTAGCTCTGGTCTTCATCTTGCCCAATCTTTCCTTCTTCGTAAACCTGTCCTTGAGTCTCGTCCTTTAGATTTCTTCACTCATCTTCAACTTCCCTATAACGATCCCTTCTCTCTCTCTGAACTTCGTTCTCCCTTGGCAGTCTGCGGTTCTATGGCGGCAGGCTCCGATGGTATTCATTATGAGATGCTTCGCCATCTCTCTCTCCGTGCACGTCTCAGTATTTACTGAGTCTGTATAATCGTATCTGAGAGTCGTCGTCAGTCCTTGAGGACTGGTTCGATGCCGTTGTCCTCCCTGTTCGCAAACCGGGGTCTCTTGGAACATCCCCTAAAAACTTTCGCCCTATTGCCCTCACAAGTTGTGTCTGCAAACTCTTAGAACGTATGGTTAACGTTCGTCTGATGTGGTTCCTGGAACACCATCACCTCTCCCCTTCTCAATTTGGTTTCCGCAAGTGCCGAAGCACAACAGATGTCCTGGAGAACTTGGAGGTCTATATTCGTACTGCTTTTGCTGAGAAGACCTCCGTTGTTGCCGTCCTTTTTGACCTGGAAAAGGCTTAAGACAACACTTGGCGATATCATATTCTATCCCAGCTTCATTCTTTTGGCCTTCGTGGTCATCTCCCTCTCTTTCTCTGCAGCTTCCTCTCTCGTCGTTCCTTTCGGGTGAGACTTGGTACAGCTCTCTCTGCCTCTTTTCAGCAATACGAAGGTGTTCCCCATGGGTAGTGTTCTGAGCACTACTCTTTTTCTCGTTGCCCGCAATGGTCTTCTTTCCTCTTTTCCTTCAGGCGTCTTCTCCGCTCTCTATATCGATGATCTTACCTTTTGCTGTCAGGGTGATGATTCGCCTCTCCTTCAACGCCAGCTTCAATTTGCAATTGATGCCGGTTGTCTTGGGCCACCGTTCATGGCTTCAAGTTCTCTACTACTAAGACTTGTGCCATGACTTTTGCTCGGAAACGGGTCATTCTTCGTCCCTCTTAGTCACTTTATGGTCATCTCCTTGAGTACAAAGATTCCGCGAAGATTTTGGGGTTATTCTTTGACACCCGCTTGTCTTGTTCTTCCCATACCTTTTACCTCCGCGTTGAGTGCTTTAAGGCCCTTACCCTCATTCGGGTATTGTCCCATACTTCTTGAGGAGTGGATAGGCGCACTCTCCTTACTTTACATTCCTCTCTCGTCCTGTCTAAGCTCGATTATGGTTGCCCTGCTTACTCGTCTGCTTCTCCTTCCCTTTTCGCCGTCTTGATGCTTTGCACCATACTGGGTTGCGCCTAAGTTCTGGTGCCTTTCGTTCGACTGCCGTCCTCAGCTTGTATGTTGGCACTGGCTTCCTATCTCTCCAGGACCGCCGTTATTGCTACTGTCTTCGCTATCTAGCGCGGTCCTTGCAACATCCTTCCTCTCGCTTCTGTCGTGCTTTAACTTTTACTCCTCTTGCGGTTCCTGTTCCTCTTTACTGCCTCCCTCTTTCTGTCCGGTTATCTCGCTTACAGGATTCACTTTCCGTTCGTATTTCTATTTCTCATCGTGTAGTTCCTTCTTTGCCCCCGTGGTGAGTCCCCCTTCCGCAGTTTTGTACATCCTTGACCCGCATCCCTAAAGCTTTTACCCCTCCTACGGTTCTAAAATGCCTTTTCCTTGAGCACTTTTCTTCTCACTCCCACTCCGTTTCGATCTTCACTGATGGGTCTAAGTCTGTGGACGGTGTTGGCTACTCTGTTGTTTTTCCTGATCACACTTATATGTGTCGCTTTCCTCCGGAGACTAGCATCTTCACAGCTTTATGCAATTCTCTATGCTCTTCGTCTCCTGCTCTCTCGTTGTCAATCTTCCTTTTTAGTTGTTGTTGACTCTCGTAGTGCTCTCGTGGCTCTCGGATCCTTTAATCTGGTTCATCCAGTGGTTGTAGAGAGCCAGCATTGGCTGTTTCTTGTTCACAGTAAATTTAAGTTGGTTGAGTTTTGTTGGGTTCCCAGCCATATTGGTGTGTCTTTAAATGAGTGTGCGGATGCTGCCGCCAGGGAAGCTGTCCACTCTTGTCCCATCTTTCGTAAAGGTATTCCTTATTCCGACTTTTGCCCGGTTATGCATTCCTCCATCCTTACCCGTTGGCAGGCTTGTTGGTCGTCTGTTACTGGTAACAAACTACGTTCTCTTAAAAGTTGTGTGTCCTCGTGGCTGTCCTCCTACCACTGTAACCGGCGATGGGAAACGGCTCTGGCGAGGTTGTATATTGGTCATACTCGCTTAACTCATGGTCACTTGATGGAGCGCCGCCTTGCTCCTTATTGTCCTAATTGCATTGTTCCTCTTACAGTCGTGCATATCCTTGTTGAATGTCCTGACTTCCGGGACGAGCGTGTGTCTTGTTTTCCGACCGTCCCCCGCGGTAGCTTGTCTTTCGATAGTATTCTTGGTGACTCGATTACTTTTGATATCGTTCGTCTTATGCGTTTCTGTTCTCGTATTGGCATCCTTGGTGATATTTAGCGCCCTCTGATTATCCCGCACATTTGATGGTGCTACATAGCCTTCCCGGTTTGGTGCCTTCTTTTTGATAATTACTTACTTTAGAGACAGTAAATTGGCAATAAATCTTTTAGTAAAGTAGATCCCATTAACTGTAAAAATTGTTCTTAAGGAAGCGAAACTAACTAATCTCGTTAATTCACATAAGCACAGACCTTGTGATGTACAGTGTAAGGATAGGGATACCGCAGAGCCCTGCTAACAATTCCCAAAAATGAGGATAATTGAGTATTATTTTGAAACTTAAACATCTCTTGGCGAGTCCCTGGGGGAACATAATCACGACGACATCTAGTGATGGACGCAGAGTGTGAGCACTTAACCAAATTATAAATGTAAACTCGTGGAATGTTATTCAGAATCTTGTATAAAGTACTTTGAGAGATAATGCAGATTACATCCGATTTTTTTTTTAATAACACTTACACTTATATATTGGTTCTTTCCTTCACCTTCATTCCAGCACTACAGCATGATTGCTGTAGTGCAACGTTCAGGGGCCCATTGTTGTAAGTTTCTCCATTATTTTTATTATAATTAACATATGAAGAGGGTTAACAGTGTCAAGTTTCCTTCATTCCTCTCGATGGTATTATACATCTTGCTAAGATTACATCCTTCTTTAGCATCTTCCTCGTACTGTAAAATATATTCGTTTTATGCATAATCATCGCATCATGCTGTTTCAATGTAAACAGTTTTATAAAAAGACTGAATTTGAACTTTCTATGCAGTTTTGTATAGTAAGAGGTGACTCCTCTCCTTCTCTAAGAACACTCTCATACACTTGATCAAGATATAAGAAATCATAGAGAAAGTAAAAAAGTGGCCTCCTTTGTACTCTCACCTTGAAAAAAGGACGAAACGAGGAAGTCATTAAGTAATTTATTCGAGTTTTATATGGATATGTAGCCAGCAAGTCCTTGAATATGTTTGTCAATACATCAGAGTTTATCCTAACATACAATACCATATATCCTTCATTGGCAAATGCAGAAATCAAGCGAATAAGAACATAACAAAAAATGCGAAATCATTACAGAACCAGAGAGCAGCTCACTTTCCCAACAAGACATACATCAACCCATAAAACCAACACCTGCAATAATGACATTATTTTCTTCCAATTTACCGGGTGGAACTCTTGCACAATAACAATACTTCTTTACATAAAGTTGAGAAGTAATAACAATGGATTTATTAGTATTGAAATTGTCATTGGCTTCATTAGTAAAAAATATATATATATTTGTCTCTGTGACCAAGCGATCCATCCTGATGCTTGGATGTAACTCGACACTGACAGTATAAGGGTGCCATGGCAGCCTTATAGACTTCTTGTAATTGTGTAAACTAAAACAGAGGACATTATGAGGAGTTAACAGAGTACTAGCACCCTCACCACGTACCAGGAAGAGCAGGAGCGGTACCAGCAGCACGGACGCCAGCACTGACGCCCACACCTCGTCCGTCAATGGCGCGTAGAGGCTTTGCCAGTTTGATCTTAGGGACGGCTTGGCCATTACGAAGCCAGTCGGATCGTGCTCATAGATATATGTGAAGTCATAAATGAGCTGGCGCTGTGGTAGTACAACGTGGAAGACCGTAGCCATGAAGGAGATCCTATCCACTACCAAGCTTGTCACCTGGGAGTACCGTATATGCATTTTTTATAAAGACGAAAAAATATGTGGTAATTTATGATATGAACAAATAATTTTGACGGTCCATTTAAAAAAAATCCACTTGGATATCTTTCGGGTAATCACCAGTATGATCTCATAAAAACCAAAATTATCTGAATCGACCGGAAATGTTCGATGAAGATAAACTTGGGGTTGGAATACATGTATTATGAATGCAGAATACCACAGTATTTATTTTGTAACGCAGGGGCAACACCGAAGCTAAACTGGGACGTCAACATACCTGGTCCCAGGAAGTTACAGGAAGGACAATAAAAGTGAAGTTGAGGGCTTCAGCTATGGTGATGAGGAGCTTGGCGTCGCTGCCAGAGTACCTGGTGGAACTAGAACTATCTTGTTCCACCTCCGCCTCAGTCCAGTAAGGTCGGTATGGCAGAGCGGTCACGTTTACTGAGGCTCCGTAAAAGCTGATAGAATATTTTTGTTTCATAAATTCAAGATGGTATTATGTATATATTACATTAAAAATATAATATTTACTAATTTCGCAACTACTCAATACTGTAAATGTCGCCGAGTAAATATTCTAAAGTTTAATTGTCGTGAGATCCACTCTGTCCTCTGATCCCCTCAGCTGTAGTGCGTGCCCACAGGCATTCAAACTTACCTAAATTATATATTTCATCTAGTTGTTACATACAATTGTTACTGGAAATGTATCATTTTATTTTCCTCTGAATATAATAAATTGAACAGTACAAAATGTATTTCGGCTAACATTTTTTTTTTATTTTAGTCATATACATACTTATTGAACTTGTTAGGAAATAGATCATGGTTAGTGAGCTGGAGGCCACGAACTGTTGTCCAGGACGCCGTCCGCACTATCCTGGTATGTGAGGCGCTGTACGGCAGGCTCACATACACGCTGAAACTATCACCATATTATGTTATACAAGACACCACCTTTAGTTTAAAAAAAGAAGTTAATTTTTATTATTCTTTAAAAAAAATATTTAGGAAGTCAATACTGGAAAGAATTGTGACATCATATATCTTTACATCATATAAAGCCTTAATGGATAAAGTATCCATTGGTGGTAGTGGGTGGTTACGCTAATGGTAATTTCGGGTTAAGGGGTGCTGTGACCCCCCTGTTACATTGTTTCCGGTTGAGGGGACTTTGTTATATAGTTAACTAGTTTTATCTACTGGTTTTATTCATGCTTTCTCCAGGTTCGGAGTGTAATGTGTGTTTCATTTTGGATTCTTGGGTCCTTTTTATTATGCCCTGCCATAGTCCATATGTGGCCTTTGATATAACATGTGTTCTGTTTTCCTTGGGTGGGTACTTTCTCATTTGTGCATTTCTTCTGTTACCTGTATACTATTCGTGTCCTAGGTTTGGGTGGTGTGAGATGGCTCTGTGTTTGCTAGGGTTTGAATGTATATTTATTTAATGACTTTATATGGAAAAGGAAAACAAAACTATGTGTATGTATATATATATATGTATGTGTATATATATGTTTGTGTAGGCTGTTGCGTGTTGTAACTGAACTGTGTGCTTTAAAACTGAGTAATTTGCTTTGTTTTCGTTTACGCTGTTTTACATTGTTAATTTATTACTGTCAATTTTGCATATTGCTTTTCTTTTATGCATTTTTTGTAATTGGTCTTTGTTTTTGTATTATGTGTCCGGCCTTTTGGTCTGTATGCCTTAGGTGTGTTGTTTAGTGGGGCGTTTTGGGAAATGTTTTCATTGGGTACAGTGTTACTAATGTTTTCAAGTGTTTTATGGGTTTTGTACATGGTTACGTGGATGGGTATATGCTTTCCCCTTGTGTTGTGTTCATTTATGTTCCCCATCATACGCCTTTATTCGTCAGTACTGTAATTTTCCTTCTGTGCTGATGGATGTGTAGTTTAATCACCTGTTTTGTGTTGATTGTTTCAATTTTCTTATGAGCCATGTGTGTGCTATCCAACTCACTGTGTAATGGTGCTTTGGTAACTGTTTTTATATTGTATTTATGTGTTTTATAAATAAAAGAAAAAAAAATGGTAATTCGGGCCTGGTTATTAAAAAAAAAGAAGTGTTAGCATAAATGGAATAAAGTCCAACTGGAAAACTGTTGTGAGTGCCTGTCAATGGGCCTGTGCAGGGATGTGTCCAGGCGCCTGTCCAGGGATGTGTCCATGGGCCTGTCCGGGGATGTGTCTAGGGGCTTGTCCAGGGAGGTGTCCAGGGGCCTGTCCTAGGAAGTGTCCAGGGGCATGTCCAGAGATGTGTCCAGGGGCCTGTCCCGGGATGTGTCAAGGGGCCTGTCCAGGGATGTGTCCAGAGGCCTGTCCAGGGATGTGTCCAGGGGTTTGTGCAGGGATGTCCAGGGATGTGTCCAGGGGCCTGTGCAGGGATGTGTCTAGGGGCCTTTCCAGGGATGTGTCCAGGGGGCCTGTCCAACGATGTATCCAGGGGCCTGTCCAGGGATGTGTCCAAGGGGCCAGTCCAGGGATGTAGCCAAGGCCGTGTCTAGGGGCCCTGTCCATGGATGTGTCCAGGGGCCTGTCCAGGGATGTGTCAAGGGATGTGTCCAGGAGCCTGTCCAGGGATGTATCCAGGGGACTGTCCAAGGATGTGTCCAGGGGCCTGTCCAGGGATGTGTCCAGGGATGTGTCCAGGGGCCTGTTGAGGGATGTGTCCAGGGGCTTGTCCAGGGATGTGTCAAAGGGCCTGTGAAAGGATGTGTCCAGGAGCCTGTCCAGGGATGTGTCAAGGGGACTATGCAGGAATGTGTCCAGGGGCCTGTCCAGGGGCCTGTCCAGGGATGTTCCAAGGGGCCTGTGCACGGATGTGTCCAGTGGCCTGCCCAGGGATGTGTCCAGGGGCCTGTCCAGGGAAGAGTCCAGGGGCCTGTCCAGGGATGTGTCCTGGGGCCTGTCCAGGGATGTGTCCAGGGGCCTGCCTGGGATCTGTCCAGGGATGTGTCCAGGAGCCTGTTCAGAGATGTGTCCAGAGGCCTGTCCAGGGGCCTGTCCAGGAAAGTGTCCAGGGGCCTGTCCAGGGATGTGTCCAGGGGCCTGTCAAGGGATGTGTACAAAAACCTGTCCAGGGATGTGTCCAGGGGCCTGTCCAGGGATGTGTCCAGGGGCCTGTCCAGGGATGTGCCCAGGGGCCTGTCCAGGGATGTGTCCAGGGGCCTATCCAGGGAAGTGTTCAGGAATGTTTCCAGGGTCCTGTCCAGGGATGTGTCCAGGGGCCTGTCCAGGGATGTGTCCAGGGGCCTGTCCAGGAATGTGTCCAGGGGCCTTAACAGGGATGTGTCCAGGGCCTGTCCAGGGATGTGTCCAGGGACCTGTCCAGGGGCCTATCCAGGGATGTGTCACGGGGCTTGTCCAGGGATGTGTCAAGGGGAATGTGCAGGGATGTGTACAGGGGCCTGTCCAGAGATGTGTCCATAGGCCTGTCCAGGGATGTGTCCAGGGGCCTGTCCAGGGATGTGCCCAGGGGCCTGTCGAGGGATGTATCCAGGGATGTGTCTAGGGGCCTGTCCAGGGATGTGTCTAGGGGCCTGTCCAGGGATGTGTCCAGGGGACTGTCGAGGGATGTGTCCAGGGATATGTCTAGGGGCATGTCGAGGGATGTGTCCAGGGGCCTGTCGAGGGATGTGTCCAGGGGCCTGTCGAGGGATGTGTCCAGGGGCCTGTCCAGGGATGTGTCCAGGGGCCTGTCGAGGGATGTGTACAAAGGCCTGTCGAGGGGCCTGTCCAAGGATGTATCCAGGGATGTGTCCAGGGATGTGTCCAGGAGCCTGTGCAGGAATGTGTCCAGGGGCCTATCCAGGGATGTGTCCAGGGGTCTGTCCAGGGATGTGTCCAGGAGCCTGTTCAGGGATGTGTCCAGGGATGTGCCCAGGGGCCGGCCTGGGATCTATCCAGGGATGTGTCCAAGAGCCTGTCCAGAGATGTGTCCAGAGGTCTGTCCAGGGCTGTGTCCAGGGGCCTGTCGAGGGATGTGTCCAGGGATGTGTCTAGGGGCCTGTCCAGGGATGTGTCCAGGAGACTGTCGAGGGATGTGTCCAGGGATGTGTCTAGGGGCCTGTCCAGGGATGTGTCAAGGGGCCTATCGAGGGATGTGTCCAGGGGCCTGTCGAGGGATGTGTCCAGGGGCCTGTCCAGGGATGTGTCCAGAGGCCTGTCGAGGGATGTGTACAAAGGCCTGTCCAGGGATGAGTCCAGGGACCCTGTCGAGGGATGTGTCCAGGGGCCTGTCCAGGGATGTGTCCAGGGGCCTGTGCAGGGATGTGTCCTGGGATGTGTCCAGGGGCCTGTCCAGGGATGTGTTGAAGGGCCTGTGCAGGGATGTCTTCAGGGATGTGTCCAGGGGCTTGTTCAGGGATGTGTCCAGGAATGTGTCCAGGGGCCTGTCCAAGAATGTGTCAAGGGGCCTGTGCAGGGATGTGTCCAGGGGCCTATCCAGGGATGTGTCCAGGGGCCTGTCAAGGGATGTGTCCAGGGACCTGTCCAGGGATGTGTCCAGGGGCCTGTCCAGGGATGTGTCCAGGGGCCTGTCCAGGGATGTGTCTAGGGGCCTGTCCAGGGATGTGTCCAGGGGGCCTGTCCAGGGATGTGTCCAGGGTCCTGTCCAGGGGCCTCTCGAGGGATTTGTCCAGGAGCCCTGCCCAGTGATGTGTCCAGGAGCCTGTACAGGGATGTATCCAGAGGCCTGTCCAGGGATGTGTCCAGGGGCTTTTCCAGGGATGTGTCCAGGGGCCTGTCCAGAGATGTGTCCAAGGGCCTGTCCAGGGGCCTGTCGAGGGATGTGTCCAGGGGCCTGTCTAGGGATGTGAACCAAAACCTGTCCAGGGATGTGTCCAGGGGCCTGTCCAGGGATGTGTCCAGGGGCCCTGTCCAGGGGCCTGTCAAGGGATGTGTCCAGGGGCCTGTCGAGGGATGTGTCCAGGGGCCTGTCCAGGGATGTGTCCAGGGGCCTGTCCACGGATGTGTACAAAGGCCTGTCGAGGGGCCTGTCCAAGGATGTATCCAGGGATGTGTCCAGGGGCCTGTCCAGGGATGTGTCCAGGGGCCTGTGCAGGGATGTGTCCAGGGGCCTGTCCAGGGATGTGTCCAGGGGTCTGTCCAGGGATGTGTCCAGGAGCCTGTTCAGGGATGTGACCAGGGATGTGACCAGGGGCCTGCCTGGGATCTATCCAGGGATGTGTCCAAGAGCCTGTCCAGAGATGTGTCCAGAGGCCTGTCCAGGGATGTGTCCAGGGGCCTGTCCAGGGCTGTGTCCAGGGGCCTGTCGAGGGATGTGTCCAGGGATGTGTCTAGGGGCCTGTCCAGGGATGTGTCCAGGGGACTGTTGAGGGATGTGTCCAGGGATGTGTCTAGGGGCCTGCCCAGGGATGTGTCCAGGGGCCTATCGAGGGATGTGTCCAGGGGCCTGTCGAGGGATGTGTCCAGGGGCCTGTCCAGGGATGTGTCCAGAGGCCTGTCGAGGGATGTGTACAAAGGCCTGTCCAGGGATGAGTCCAGGGACCCTGTCGAGGGATGTGTCCAGGGGCCTGTCCAGGGATGTGTCCAGGGGCCTGTGCAGGGATGTGTCCAGGGATGTGTCTATAGGGGCCTGTCCAGGGATGTGTTGAAAGGCCTGTGCAGGGATGTCTTCAGGGATGTGTCCAGGGGCTTGTTCAGGGATGTGTCCAGGAATGTGTCCAGGGGCCTGTCCAAGAATGTGTCAAGGGGCCTGTGCAGGGATGTGTCCAGGGGCCTATCCAGGGATGTGTCCAGGGGCCTGTCAAGGGATGTGTCCAGGGGCCTGTCCAGGGATGTGTCCAGGGGCCTGTCCAGGGATGTGTCCAGGGGCCTGTCCAGGGATGTGTCCAGGGGCCTGTCCAGGGATGTGTCCAGGGGCCTGTCCAGGGATGTATA